ATCATCAGCCGCTACATGCCTTACAGACTTCAACAGCTTTGCAGAGCCCTAAACTTTCTGTACGACAGACAGAAAGCGGGTCAACTGGTTTGCCCAGCACTCGAAGGTCCCGACTTTCTCGGACGCCTCCCGGGTCTCAATTTCCAACCACCCATTCCCCAGCCCCTGGCGAGCCTCCTTACAGCCCCGACTGTGCTGAAGGCACCTTTTGCGGCATCTTCTCTGACGGTACCGCCGAGCTCGGCACCTTCATCCCCTTCCTGTTGTTCGCTTCCCCGCCCCCTGTTCGTTTTATTTTAGTCTGGCGTTGCTGAGTCCATAAAAAAGGTCGTGTGGATTGTTTGTAAATGGGATGGGTGTGCAGGGGCTGTGGGATTTGACCTCGCCGGGTGCGCGGCGAGTGAAGTTGTCGACCCTGGAGGGCCGCGTGGTGGCGGTGGACGCCAGTATTTGGGTGGCGCAGTTCGTAAAGGCGTTGCGCGACCCGAACGGTGACATGTACCGGGGCGCACACCTGGTAGGTTTCTTTCGGCGGCTGTGCAAGCTGTACTACCACCGCATCCGACCAATAATCGTCTTCGACGGCCCTCCCCCGGCTCTCAAGCGTCGCGTCCTCAGCGAACGCAGACGCCGCCGCGAAGACGAACAACTACAACTCAAGAAGACGGCAGAGAAACTCATCTCGAACATCGTCAAACGCAAACGAGCCAAGAAACGAGCAGACCAAGGCCTTGTTCTGGCCGGTCCTGACGGTCTGGCTGGCTGGTCCTGGCGGTCTGGCTGGTCCTGGCGGCCTGGCTGGCGAAGTGGTGACACTGCAAGACGTGCTCAGTGGGCGCGTCCACCTGGACGAGGAGGACGAAGAAATGGAGGCGCTGCGGCAGCTCCTGCCGAAGCGCGACCGCGTGGAGCTAGATCGTCTCCAGGCGTCGTGCGGTGCCGGCTTGCTGGGTAGCGTTGCAGGGCAGGCGCCCAACGACACCGACCTCCGGGACCCGGGGGTGGCAACGCCGGGGGGAATGGCACCAGGGGAAATGGCACCGCAGGAGGTGCAGGTCTTGTACGAGCAGGTGGGCACGCCGCCGAGCTCGAGTGGGCGGGAGAGTCGGGAGGACGTGTTGCAGGTGCAGAGTGAGAGTCGGGCGCGACGTGTTCGTTACTACGAGTCGATTCCGGACGACTTCCGCGGGTTTTTGGAGAAGCGGCGGCGGCTGGACGAGATATCAGTGCCGACGGACATTGGGTCGTTGTTACGGATGCCGGAGCGGAAGAAGGACGGGTGGGAGGGCTTGGGAGTGCGGGTGCGCGATGTTGACGCGGGTACTGATTTCAAGCGGCCTTTAGTGACGGCACCGGACGAGTTCAAGGAGTTTTATGTGCAGGACGACCACGGGGACGCGGCGGTGGTTCAAATTCCGCTTAATTGCGAGATCGATGAGGGCGTCTTCCGTGCTTTGCCGCATAAAATGCAGTTCCGCATCCTCGTTCAGTTGCGCGACCAGTGGATGGCCGAGAATCGTTTGCGCGCCATCGCCAGCCAGCGTGACCCTAGTGCCTTCAGCGCGATCCAAATGGAAGGTTATCTCCGCACCGCACATACCAATAAGGAGATCGAAGAAACCAAGCGTAAACTAGGCGTCGAACAACTCAAAAAGGCCGGCAAAAACGACCCGCTCGCCGCCAGCAGCAGCAGCAGCAGCAGTGAGGGCAGCGACCGCGACGACGGCGGCTTCATGAACTTCTACGCCCCCGAGCCCGCTGTCGAAGGCAACAAAAATCAGGACAAGGCAAACTTCGAACGCCAACTCCTGGCCGAAATCGACACTCAAGAACAAGAAAAGAGAAAACGCGCGAAAAAGAAAAGGGAACGAGGGAAACGCAAGCATCTTGCCCTCTTCCAAGAGTGGGAAGACGAACAACAACTAGTGCCTCCGATGGCTACCCACCCCACCTGGTTCTACGAAACGGACGCCTCCCGTCGAACGCAGCCTGCCGGGCGCGCTACCAAACAGCCTTCCGACCCACACCCCCACAACGACCGTGGGGACCCTTCTGGCCAACCCAGCAAGCCCTCCGACCACCCCGACCAACTTCAAGAGGAACCGGACTGGGAACAAGACTACTTGGAGACCGTGGTTTGCGATGACCTTCCTACACGGCCTGCCGCCACCTCGACTCCCTCTCCAGAAGCAGTCCTCGACAACTCCGAGTCTCCCATCGCGGAGTTCTCGGTAAAGGACTTCTCGGTAAAGGACTTCTCGGTAAAGAACACCCCGTTAAAAGACACCCCGTTAAAGGACTCCGCTCTAAAGAAAAGGATCAGCATGAAACGCAGGGGAACGCGTACCTCACCGCCGAAGCCCAGCAACCCCAAGGGTGTCTCGGAGGACGAGGGCTGGGGTGACTGGGACGAAGCCGACGGCCGCGTCAAGGACAGCAAGGACTACGTCCACCAACTGCTCCAAGAAGCCAAGCAGGAAGAAGCTAAGCAGGAGGAAGCAAAGCAGGAGGAAGCAAATCAGGAAGAAGCTAAGCAGGAAGAAGCTAAGCAGGAAGAAGCTAAGCAGGAAGAAGCTAAGCAGGAGCAAGCGAGGCACACCGAACGCATGGCAGGAAGTCGGGAATCGACCCCGGGGGAGTCAAGCCCGGGGGATGCGACCGCAAAGAGCCTAGTAGAGCCGCGGAAAGCGAGCCCGGCCGAAGTGAGTCCGGGGACGGGCGGTGAGCGGGAGGCTCTGGACGCGTCGGCGGCCGCACTGGGTGAGAGCGAGGCGTCCCCGACGGGGTCTTCCCCGACGGGGTCTTCGCGGGGTGAGTCGTCTCTGCCGCGTATCGTGGAGTCATCTGTGGCAGCGGATTCTTTCATGGATTTGTCGAGTGCGCGGTTTGAGCGTGCGGTGGGTGGTGAACGGCAGGCGTCTGCGGTGGCGACATTGGTTATAAGGGAGGACGAGGCGTTGGAGGAGGAGGCGGCGGTGTTGTTGCGAAGTTTGCGGCGCGGGACGAAGCGTGCGGCGGAGGTGAGTGCCGAGTTGTATGATGAGATTCGGGATTTGCTGCGTGCATTCGGGATTCCGTTTGTGAACGCGCCTGGGGAGGCTGAGGCTCAGGCAGCGCACTTATGTCGTTTGGGATTGGCGGAGGCGGTGGTGAGTGATGACTCTGACTGTTTGGTGTTCGGTTGCCAAGATACGATTCGTAATTTATTTGACAGTGATACGACCGCGGAATTGTTTTCAGCCCGTGATATTCGACGTGTACTTGGTCTCGAATTACAGGATCTGCGCGTCCTTGCGTTACTCCTGGGTTGCGATTATACATTGGGCGTTTCCGGCATCGGAGTCGTGAATGCACTCGAAATCCTCCAGGCCTGGGGTAATGACCTCGATGCGCTGCGTCGCTGGGCTGCCTGGGCTCGCGACCGACCGTCATTGCACAGCGGCCAACCTGGCATCCGTGACGATGATCCTCCCCTTGTTAAAGATTACAAACTCAAACACTGTAACTATCGACCGCACTGGCAATTTCCCACCGAACGTGGCGGTCAGTTCCCACCCGAAGAAGCCTACCACGCCTTCATCCAACCCAGAGTCGATCACTCTACAGAACCATTCCACTGGGTCGACCCGGACCTCAATTCGGTTACGCAAATAATGCATACACGTGCCGGAATTTCGCACGAAAAAACACAAAGCCATCTTGAACCCATCCTTCGCCGACTCCAGGTCAGAATACCCCTCAAACAGTCCCTTCTCGATACATTCATCCACCCCCCAAATGAAGAAGAAACTCTCGCTGAATATCGCAGCGCACGCATGAAGAAAGCTATCACAATCATTGCCGCCAATAGACGCCAGCCACACGTGGCTAACTCAACAAGACCGAACTGACCTAACAGGACCTGAACGGGAGGTTGACCGGACAGGAGGTTGACCGGACAGGGCTGACTTGGTATCCGGTGTCGGCTATGCCTTGGTTGGCTCGCGCCTTGGTTGGCTCGCGCCTTGGCTTGGTTGGTGTTCTGACTTGATTCGTGTTCTGACTTGATTCGTGTTCTGACTTGATTCGTGTTCTGACTTGGTTGGGTGTGTAAAAATTTTTTTGGAATGCATCGGCTGTTGAAGAATAAGCTGGTTCATGTTGCAGTTGTAATAACCGCGTTGGTATGGTTGTTTGAATTTGTACCAGTAGCAGAAGATGTGAGGTTGCCTGCTTCGTTGTTGTTATTGCGTAGTGTGGAGAAGGCGTTGGCGTCATTTGCGAAGAAGACACCAAGTTGGATGGGTTTATGGAGTCCGTATGAGCCGAAGGGG